TAAACAAACAGACTTGAAAATTGAACTTGCAGGGTTAGAGAAATAACTCTTTTATTCTGTCACTTAAAAATTGAATATTGATTTCCAAAGTCTAATTAACAGTTGGAAAAAAATACTCTTCACCAAAATGTACTCTGAAAGACACCAGGAAATTCCTAGAGAATACACTTACAAAATGTAGTCATAAATTAGCAATAAGTAATGCATCTATTTACATTATTTTAACTAGCAGTAAAAAATGTAGTAGATATTATGAGCACAATTGTAAGATATTTAGTCAAAATATATTCACAGGAGAAATGAGTAGTGGATGCTTCTGTCCAGTACCAAATGCAGTAGGACTTCAATACTGAATTCAGGAAAATGACTACCCAGAATGCAATTGTACAAGGTGGGAACTACACAGATTGAGCCAGAAGAGGTTCAGGATGGAACTTGTAAGGGACGCCTCCTACGGGCTGCAAAATTTGAGTTTTAAGGAAAGAAATTATTCCTCCTATTCTCTTACATTTTTCTTTCATAAGAAGAGGAACAACACTAGAGGAGCACCAGAAATAAAAATGCCACAGTCAAGAAAGAGCAATGAAGAAAAAAACCACTTATGTCCCTATCTTTCTAACGCATTTATAAGGAACCATGTGGTTTTTTGTGGTTTTTGTTGCTTTGTATGTTCCTCTCCATGGTATAATGCCTGTTTTCACTGTATTTGATGTCTGTATAATTTGGGGAGGGGAAGGGAAAAAACAAAATGTGTAAGTAGGGATACAGGTGGATCCATTGTAACAATGAGATGCACACTATGTTGAAAAATGAACTTTATAATTTAGGTGTTGGGAGGAGTGTAGTTATGGAAGTGGGAGGGAAGGGTTGGTAGGGGAAAAACAAAGGAGGAGGCAACAATGCTTGATAAGACATGTACTCATTACCTTGCTCATGTAACTGTAACCCCTCTGCACAGTATTTTCACAATAAGAAATATATTAAGAAAAAAAAAGAAAGAAAGAGCAAGGAAAGCAGCCTGTCTGTGGGAAAGTAATGAGAAATTAAAGGGAATAGACTTCAAGTCATAAATAAAACGTATTTCTAGGATCGAAGGATTTGTTTGTAGTGGTCGTTTCTCTCCTTGGGTGAGCCTTGAGATTGCATGGGCAGTGATTAACTCCTACGTCCATGTAAAAAGCAATGGCCATTAAAATATCATGCTAATGTCATAAAAATAGACTTAGCAATGGATAGAGCAGGATATAGAGTGTATGTGTAGTGTTTACACATATACATAGTTGGATGGTTAAACATAGAACATGAATCAAGCTAAGAGATTACACAGGAGAAAGAGAGGGAAGAATGGAAAAATAAAGAAGATGAAAAATTGACACATCTCAAGTCTATGAGAGCGGCATAGAGAAACTCAACAAAAGAGGATGACCAGTAACAGAGTGCTAGAGAAGAGAGACTCTTGGGTAGGTGGGTGGGGACTAGGAAAAGGGGGCTGTGTCTGGGAGGGCAGGATAAAGAAGACTGAAGAGTGTTGAAATCAATTGCTTACAACTAGAAAATGGAACAAGGAAGCCTGTTAAGGGATGCTATTTCTTAGAGGGAAGGGCGCAAGGCCTGTGATAGAGATAGTGAAATCGGAGCCAACTCTCCATCTTCCCAACCCAAACACCTTCCAAGACCGCAGGTCCATTTGCAGATACTGCTGTGTTCTGTTTAACAAACTCAGCAAGGTAATGCTGCCTTCCTGTCCTCCCTCCCCTACTCCCTGGTGGGGCCAGGTGGCTGAGACACCTGTCCATGCTCGGAGCCTGCCAGGCTTGGCACCCCCACCCACCTCACAGATGGCCTGAAACTTGAAGAGATTCCTCTTTCCACTTATCTGAGTCAAGATTTTCTTGTTACTTAATCCACCGAAATCAGTCCACATGAGAAATGAAAGCTTTCTCCCAACTTTTGTCTTTCCTGTAGTATTTTATATATGATTGGAAATGCACCTTTAAATTCCTCCTTTGTAAGAATTACACTCACTTGGCTATTTTATTTAAAATGGGATTTTTTTCCCCTGTCTCCTTCCCCTAAAAGGCTATGTGTGTGGCTTAAGACCTTCAGGCCTCCTGTTATCTGGACCCTATTTAGGCTACAGATTGTATTACTTTTGTTTGATTTGGAACTAAGAAATCTCCCCTTCAGTTTGAATATGAAATGCATTTTCCTTATGATGTTTCCATATATGATTGCTCTTGAAGTCTCTCCCTCCAAGAAAATTATTCTGATGATATGACCCTGCTTTGGTTTCTTTTAACATTAGGTAGAGTCAATTGTGCATAGTAATAATTACTTTTGTGCCTGTGTGTGTCAGTACTGAAGCTTGAAATTAAGGCCTGGGCACTGTCCCTTAGCGTTTTCACTTAAGGATGGCACCCTACCACTTGAGCCTCAGCTTCACTTCTAGTTTCTGGTGGTTAATTGGAGATAAATGAGTCTCATGGATTTTCCTGCCCAGGCTGGCTTTGAACCATGATTCTCAGATCTCAGGCCCCTAAATAGCTGGGATTACAGTGGTGCAAATATAAGCCTAGGATTACGCCTGCTTCTGATATGTCTAATTGTATCAGCATAAATTCTAAGTTTCTTTTAAAATAATCCATGTATTTTTTACTTGGTTTAGCATCTGCTTGAATAATGCTTAATAAATGTTGATCAAGGTAAATAATTTATAAAGTTGTAACAGGACATCATTAGCTGTTGGGGTCAATGCAAAATGAAAAAAACTTTTGGCTGTGTTATCTCATGATAATTGTTTTCTTTTGATCAGAAAATCAGCAGTATAGAATTTAGTTGGCAGTGAACCAAAGTGACTGAACTTATATCAGAAAGAAACATCACCACTAGGGTAAAAATGTGTGCATATGAAACTAATGATCAGGAGACTCAAGTGACATGTCTTTCATGAAGGTTCTGTTTGATGGGAATACAGAAAATGATACCTTATTTCATTTGCATGTATTCAATATATTTGCATACTAATGTCACTTTTTTACATTATATATGTTTTATATATAGTTTATATAAATATTTATATGTTAGAGAAAGTTGAAGTCCTCAGCTTGTACTTCACTGATGGTAATTTACTAAGGTGTACAATATTTATCAGCTAAACAGCAAGAATTATGGTAGCAAATACTGACAAATTACTATGAAGGCCAACTGTCTCATCAGTTATATGGGGATTTACATAATGCCATTACATGCAAATATAGGACTTGGATCTATGATAAAGCTGTTAGGGCTGGGAATGGGTATCAAGTGGTAGTGTCTGGCCTGTGTTGTTCAAACCCTAATTACACACACACACACACACACACACACACACACACACACACACACACACACGCATACACATAAACAAAGAATATTGAATCTGTGTACATTGTATACCATGATCAATAAGGGACAAGCACCTGCAAAATCATAATTAAGAATTGATTGGAAATTACTTTATTTCAAGACTAAATTATTTGTGAGCATTTAAAGGGCTGAGGAGTCAGGAATGTGTAGAAGGTAATACTGCATAATACAATATGAATTTGTAAAAATAATTCCTATGAAGATATTTGGAATTATTATTGTCTGACCATCAATTCTATAGACCAGTTGCTCTAGATTATGAAGTTCTTACCAATAATGGTACATTGGAGAGTTTATAAGACTGTATGGTGCCTAGCATTTTCTATGTTCCATAATTAAGTATTTTGAAGAACTCTTTGCTTTCTTCCAAAGTTTGAGCCCTCTTTTGAAATTCTGATTTTTGTTTTTGTTTTTGTTTTTGTTTTTTGTCGGTTGTGGGGCCTGAACTCTGGGTCTGAGCACTGTTCCTCAGCTCTTCAGCTCAAGACTAGCACTCTACCACTTGAGCCACAGCACCACTTTTTCTGTGTATGTGGTGCTGTGGAATCAAACCTAGGGCCTCATGCATGCAAGGCAAGCACTCTACCACTGAGCCACCTTCCCAGCCCCTGAAATGCTGCTTTTATATAAGCTAGCAAAGGAAGTATTTTCTCAGAGAGACTACAGAGGATAAATACATTCCATATGTCCAAATAGTAGTGCTAGAAACAAAGGCAAAATTCCCCTAAATCGTATAATCAAGATTACTAAAGTAGAAAGTAAACAGACTTTGCTACAAATTGATGCTATGATCTTTTGAAATTACCTCCAACCTCATTTTGTGTGTGAGAGAGAGGGGTGAGAGAGAGAAAGAGAGAGAGAGAATACTAAGGCTTGAGTCTTAGGCCTGCAGCTTGAAACTTAGGTCTCAAACTCTCTCTTGACTTTTACATTTTCAGCTGGAGCTCTACCACTTGAGCCACATCTCTACTTCTGGCTTTTTTACTGGATTATTAGACTTGAGTCTCAAGGATTTGTCTACCCAAGATGACTTCAAACTGGGAATTTCCAGTTGCAGCCTACTGAGTAGCTAAGATTATAGATATGAGACACTAGTGCCTGTCTTAAATTCATTTTTTAAGGAAGAAAAGTTCAAGATTTTGTAATAGTAGAATATCTGAAAATTTATTTTTGAGCTTCTAAAAGGATTGCTGTCTGAGGCCAGTAAAAGCCATGAGATGCAATCTGAAAAAATAACTAAAGCAAAAAAGCTAAAGTCATGGCTCCAGTGACAAAAAGCCCTGCCTAACAAAGGCTCTGGGTTCAAAACCTGGATGCAAAAACACACATATACATCTGTCGAGTTAAATTTGAATTTACACATTTATTCATCACAAGCTTTCTTAGAGACTATGTAGTTCCAACAGAACAGACTTTCCCTGTCTATCATCCTTAAACCTTCACATCAGTATGAGACACATATGGCACTAGTGAGTGAAAGTTTATTACAAGCTCCAAATCCATGCTCTACTCTCTGGGCTATTAGCATCATACATGCAGTTTCATGGCAAAATAATGCAAAGGCAACAATATTAACATAATTTAATTTTTTTCAGATGTTGACAACGTATCTCCGACCTCATCCTCACCAACAAATTCTGCAACGAAAGAATCTTCGCTAACACCAGACACAAAGCCAACATCAGAGTCTATCCATCCAACACCTGAAATATCTATAGGTACGATGACCTCTCAGTAAAAGAAAAAAATACTATATATATATAGTAAAAGAAAAAAATACTATATATATATATATATATATATATATATATATACATATAGTTTGAAGAGCAAAATTAGTAAAGCCTATACATTAACATACATAAAAATGACATGGGCTCCTGCATTCAAGGATCATAAAAATCTGTGTTCGTTCACTATTTTGAAATCCTTGTGTGTATGTGTGTGTGTGTGTGTGTGTGTGTGTGTGTGTGTGCGCGCGCGCGTGCACGTGTGAGAGAGAGAGTTGATTTGCATACTGAAACTTGACTTCTCAGTTGGCTTTTCTGTTCATTGTGTCTTGTTTGATCATGATCCTATTGTGAGTGTTACATACACAAAATTTTCTTTCAGAGAAATACCGATTACCTTGCCTATGTCACAAAGTGATCTTCCCAAATTCTGGAGAATTCCAGTTCTCCACTTAGGTAGCCCAGTCCCCAAGGTGAAGCTATGTTAATTTCAGGCTGATTTTGTTGATTGGGCCATGCTGAGAACAGATTTAATTGTAGCTTTCAATACCGGTGTCGTTGGTTTTTGTTGTTGCATTCAGTGGCAGCAACTATATCACTATTTGAAGGACAGTTAGTAAAGGGAATCTACCCACCCCTCCATCTTCCCTAAAAATATTAAAAGCCATTGAGCATCAATTGAAAAGTCAATGTGAGCACCAGAAGTGCTACGATGGGGGAAGACTGACAGAGTTCTCCAACAGCTGGATGACAGGAGAGAAACATGGATGAAGAGCACTGGAGAAGGAAGCCAGAAAGGAGCTGGCAGGGGTTCGGTTGCCTAGTTACGCCCTTGTGTATTAAGGCATAGTCGAGTTGAGCTATGTACAGTATACATAGTAGTATCTAGATACATGGATAGGTAGATAGATAGATAGATAGATAGATAGATAGATAGATAGATAGATAGATAGATAGATAGATAGATAGATAGATAGATAGATAGATAGATAGATAGATAGATAGATGGATGAATGGATGAAGGTGACTATGTTACCTTCCCCTAAAGATAATACAATTAATTAATTATGATGAAGATGATAGATGATTGTCTTCAGAAATCACACTCTTGGTTGTAAACTAGTATCTCTAGCTTCTTCATCTCAGGACTGTGGAGAGCTTAAATTTGAGTACATTTGATAAACACTCTCTCACTTTCCAAAAAATAATCCAATTTTAACTTCTACAACCATAGAAAAAGTATCCTTGCAGTGAAACCTTTTTTTTTTTCTCCTTTACTTGTGGCCAACATCTTCTTAGCTACACAAGAGTTTTTCCTCCCAAAAATAGGACCTAGAGAAGCTTATTTATTTTCATTTCAAGGCTTCCCAATAGGATTTTCTTTGTTTAAAGGTCAGAAGACAGTTGGTTTCATAGTACTTATGTCTATCTGAAGCACATAAATGTGTTTTCACTTGCCCGTGGCAGAAATTCTATCATCTGAAAAGTTTAAAAAAAAAAAAAGTGCAACAGAGATGAGAATTTTCACAGTAACACAGTGACAGAATGATGGGGGGAAATGACATTGGGTCTAAGCAGTGCTGGCCTTGAGCAGAGATTTGCCACTTACAGAGATGGGGTTAGGCTCTTCTTAGCTGGGCATCCAGCAATGACAAACTTTGTGGAAAGGTCAAGTAGACAGAATTTAAAAAACCAACATTTGGTAGACACTGCATCTTACCACTCTAAAATGAACTTCTAGGATTATGAAATTTGACTTGCAATTTTGTTTTTCAGCTTTGTTATTCAGCTGGACCATAGGAAAGTCACATATGCTTAACGAGTGGAATTATACTGAAGGAATAAGAATTTCTGAGCATGGTTCTTAAGTTTTGTGGTACTAAATAGGTATCCAGTTTCTGCTGAGATTAGTAGAAGAGCCAGGTATTTTGGGCCATCTGTTTCACAGAAAGTGTTAGATTTGGCAGTTATTAAATTGCATGTCTGATATGGAGAAAAAGGGAAAGATGAACCTATAAAGAATAGACTTTTGAAGAACATGCTTGGAAATGTTTTGTATGACTAGTCGCCATGAAGGTGGGATTTTTCTCCATTGTCTTTCTCTCCTACTCATTACCTTTCCATCAGGAAGCCTGAATGGGAAAATGAACAACTGGAAATATCTCTTGTAGATGATTCTTTCATTTGTCCTTTGCACAGAATTTTGATGTGGTGAAATTGACATTTTTAAGTTTAATCCTCATAAAATATGTTTACCAATTATTTTCTTGAAAACTTTATGACCTAAATGGGATTCAACACAGCCTGTAAAGTTGACAAAGCAATTTCATAGAACAGAATTATGATAGTCTAATGACTTAAGCTTAGCCTTTGTTGACTTAAAATTAAATACTAGCCTTTACAGTGCATAGCTATAGTTTTCCCTTATTTGTGCTGACTTCAGTCCGTTTGTCTGATCAACTTCTTAAAAGTTCTTCGTCGTTACTCATACACTGAAAATGAACAGATATCACAGTTATTGGTTACTGAGATACTCATGATGGTGATACACAAATATGTTCCAGAACTGCAGCATAAATGCCGAATATGAGAAATGAACTACAACTTATATGAAACTGCTTACTAGTGTTTGAAGCGACTATTTATCAATTCATGATAAATCTGAAATAGTATTACTCTTACTCCAAAAAAATAACTAAGGGGTGGGGGATTAGCTCAAGTGGTAAAATGCCTGCTTAGCAAATAAAAGGCTTCTAGTTCAAATCCACCTAAAAGAAATTGCACTGAAAGAAGAGCTGATGAGCTGTTGACGAGGAGAAATTTTGTGCTTTGTTGTTTCTCTTCTCTCAGGGCCATTTATTTGAATTATTTCCTTATTTTTACTATTACTCAGATTTAAAAGGTACTAAGAGTCCAGGACTCTGGAAGAGGAACAAAGCAGAATTCAAAGAATATTTCATGACTCAAGTTTTCAGGCTCCTTTATGACTTACATTTAACTTAGAATTTTCTTCACTCCAAGTTAACAAAGTGAAATGTAATTCTGAAAAATAAATTGTGATAGTCCTAGATCCCACTGGTCCAGTCATAGTTTGGAGGAGATTTTGGAGAAGTAGAAGGAAGACAGGAAGAAAATAAAATCATTTTAAATTTCTGCAATTTAGATGTTTTGCAATACTTTTTGCATACTTAATGATATTCACCTAACAATCTGCAGTAGAAATTTGCTACTTGGATCTTCATATAAAAACACATGTGTTTTTGTGTATACCTCTATGTGTCTCTCAAGCATACACAACTATATTCCTCTTGAGACCCAAGGAGTTAGAAAATGGAAAAAAATAGAGGTAAAAAAGATAAAGTTAGTGGGAAATTCAAAAATTACAAGGAAAAAAATTAAAGGTTTATCCAGCACATCTTCAAAGGGCTTCCATTTCACTTCCAAATTCAGCTTTTATTTATTCTGGTGGGATAAGATTATGAATAATAATGTCATCTGTCTTATCAAACTAGGAACAACCAGCAAAGACTCATCGAAAATATCACTTACGCCAGAAATTACTTCACTAACAACTGCTAAAACTACAGGTAAGTATTAATTTATTTTGCCAGCTTTAAATACACACACACACACACACACACACACACACACACACACACACACACACACACACACATAACTCTTCCTACTCAGGAGGCTGAGATTTGAGAATCACAGTTTTGAAGCCAACCTGAGCAGGAAAGTCTGTGAAACTCTTATCTATAATTAATCAGCAAAAGTCAAGAAGTGGAGGTGTAGCTCAAGTGGTGGTATACTAACCTTGAGCAATAAAGCTCAGGGACAGTCTTGAGTTCAAGCCTCAGAAACAGCACTAAAAAACAAAAAACAAAAGCAAGCAAACAAACAAACAAACAAAAAACCCTGTAATTTTTACCCTTATAAAATGTACATCAGTGACTTTTAGTACATTCATAGGTGTGCTATCTTCCCATCTCTGACCATGATATTCCTTAATTTCACTGATATTCAGAACTTTCAGTGTGGAAAGATTGTACTTTTTGTTCAACTTATCACTTATGGTATCCAAGTTTTTGCTTTTGTAACTTGTTTTTCTATCAATGTTGCATTGTTCAGATTCTACTGTATAGAAATACAATTTACTTTCACATATTATTATATCCTGATACTTGGTTGAATTCATTGATTAGTTCTGATCTCTGTGTATCTATGTATGTATCTATGTGTGTTTATTAGAATTTTCTAGATTCACTATAATATCATCTGAAAATATAGCTTTACTTCTTCCTTTCCAATGTACATACCTTTTGAATTTTTACTTATTTATTTTTATTGCTTAATTATGTTGGCCATACCACCCAATACAATGTTAAACAAATAGTAACAAAGGATATCTATATTGTTTCAAATTATAAGAGAATGTTGCCTGTATTTTGCCACTAAGTATTATAATATGACATTCTCTTGTTTTGGGGGGTTTTTTTGGTCGGTTGTGGGGCTTGAACTCTGGGCTTGGGCGCTGTCTCTCAGCTCTTCAGCTCAATGCAAGCGCTCTACCACCTAAGCCACAACACCACTTCCAGTTTTTTTTTCTAGTGGTTTATTGGAGATAAGAGTCTCACGGACTTTCCTGCCTGGGCTGGCTTTGAACCGTCATCCTTAGATGTCAGTCTCCTGAGTAGCTAGGATTACAGGCATGAGCCACTTGTTCCCAGCCCTCTTGTTTTCTTAATATGACATAAAGTACTGATTTTTATGTGGAATCACCCATGCCTGTAATAAGTTTAACTAAGCCATGATGTATAATTATTTTTAAAGGAAACGTGTTTGGTTTATTTTGCTATTTTCCTGTCTATATTCATAAAAGATAAAGGGTTGTAGCTTTCTTTCCTTGTCATGTTTTTATCTGGTTTTAGAAGTAGGTAATAATTAGGTAATAACCTCTAGATTGATATGGAATGTATTTCTTCCTCTACTAATTTTGGAGTGGGGGAAAAATGATGCTCTTCTTACTCTGAGAGAGGACTGGTAAGATGAACATGATAGAAAACTCACTAGCAATTTAGACCACTCCTCTGTTCTTTTGAATCAATAAAAATAATTCTACATTTTAAAAAAATCTTAGGAAAAAGACCCAAATGCCAATAACTTAACCAGACAGGAGTTAAACGGCAGAATCGTTGCATGTCAGGAGCAAGGTAGACATACACATTTTTCTTTTACAACCAAATAGAGATCTGGAGGATTTCCTGACAAGCTTGGTATAAACAGGACTTCATGGATACAGTTAAAAGGACTGGAATAAAATACTTTTTAACCTCATTCATAGTAAGACAAGAAATTAATGTACATTTTTAAACCAGAAGAACCAACAAAGCACTCTTTCTTAGCCACCACCTGGCCCAGGAGTGACCTCATGAGAATGTTTGTGTACTGAAGTGTTCAAAAGGGACAGCTCAAATGTTCTAGAAGACGTAAGCCCTCCATAAACACTGCTACTATTGATTCACTGATTTGTAAGACCACATGAGTAAATAGGGTCACTCTATCTGAGAAAATATAGAAGAAATCTTACAACATTTACTCCAACTCCAAGAAATATTGTTGAAAATAGACTTTAGGGAAGACAGGGACCAATATCTACATATTCCATCAAGTGTCTAATTAAGATCAGATAGATTCTTCTTTTTTAAGTTTTACTACCATTTTAATAACATCATGGTGGGCTCTTCATCCTGCTGGCAGATAGAAACCTAGCTGCAAACGTCATGCATAAGAATACAAAATTCAATTACTAATGTATCAAATGAAGGAAATAGAGCATAAGATTAGAAATATATATATATATATATATATATATATATATACCCTTTAGAAGTAGAAAAATTATGTGTTCTTAAAAAATTATCTTTATATAGTTGTACACAGCTTGCATATAGTCAAAAAGTCAGCTTCTAAGTTCAAGGTATCTTCCATCATTCTTCTCCATCTTTCCCAACCTCATCTCCTGAAGGTACCTCATTCCACTTTTACATATGTGTATCAAGGAGGATGACTATCTCCAAGCACTGCTCCTCTCTCCGTTCTTGACCCTCTCCCTCTTAACTCCCATCCCTCTCAGACAAAATGTCTTAGCTTCCTAAATTTTATTTTCTTAAACTGTTCATTGTTCAAAGGGGATAAACCATCAAAATCCATCCCTTCATATACCCTTGAGTCAGTTGAATGGTGCAATTACACTGATGGCCATGTATGAGGTTTACCTATATGTTTCTATTTTAGATCTAATATATAAAGAAAACATGAGCCCTTTGCCTCCCTGATACTGACTTACTTCACACAAAATAACTTTTCCAGGTCCACCTATTTCCCTGCAGATGAGATGATGTAATATTATTCTTTCCGATGGCTGCACTAAATTCATATATACATACACACACACATATAGACATATACATGCCACAATTTCTGGATCCATTTGTTGGTATCTAGGCTGTTTCTACAACTTGGCTAAACCATATGCTGCTAAAACACAGATTCACACCACTGCCAGAGGGATTATTGTTAAATCCCAAATTCTGGATCCTTCTGATACCATGAAAATATCCCAATTTATTTGATCTCTGAACTTTGTATACAAGAGGCCATTCTAAATATAAGCATAATGATATTCCTAGCCTGGGGTTAGTACCAAATCTCTGTAGGGAGCTACCTGGCAAATAGGTTGAGGAAAAGAGTAGATCAGGAGGTAGCCAATTGCTCACTTAGCCAAGGTCTAAACAAGAAAGGACTCAGAGATGTCTGTTCTTTGGGTTTAAACTAGGTCCTTTCAAGTCTTGCGACAGCAAGAACATTGCTACACATGTAACTCCATAGGGGTCTTCCTGCCTACCTTAGCCAACATGTAAATGCTACAAAAAAAAAGGTTTTTAAAAGTTTAATACTCACATAGAAATAAAGCTTTCTCTCTTTTGTTCCACCACTAAAACCTCAGATCCCACTCATCTTCATTTTCCCAACACTGTTCTTTCATTCTCTCAGTGTTCCTTGAGCCTCCATGGTGCCTGGTTCTCTGGTTCCATCATCCGAGCTTCTCTTCCCTAGGTGTAAGTATTGGAGGAGATGAAGTCAGTTTGGAATGCATTCCTTCACATCTATTTCCGCTTCTTGGACTCAACACATATTTATTTACAACCTGGGCTACTTATTTTCACCCTAAGCAGAGACACCAAAAGAATCTGAGGAAAATCTTTGCCAATTTCCTGCCACACTCTTTGCTAATGCTTAGAAATATTTCTCTAAGACCAATAGTACAGACATTGAGGCAAGTAACAGTCTTACCAGAAGAAACTCGTATCCTTCAAGTTATTGCAATGAATCAAGACATTAATTAAGTTTCTGCCAAACCACCTACCCCCCTATCATGGGGACAGAGTTTCTATGAAGCACTTACTCAAAATAGTTCTTGAAAATGGAGGTCCTTTGGCAAGTGCTTTTAAAAAAATGTTACCCTCCTAGGATTTCACAATAACGCATTAAAAAAAAAAATTATCAGTCCTAATATAAAGAAATCCATGAAAGTTTTAAAGCTGTGAAGCTCTAAATTAGTTTGGCAATTAGACAACAACTTTAATAAAAAACAATAAATGTTATTTTGTGTAGTTAAGGAATACAATGTGGTGCTGTGAGATTTAGAGAGAGCTGAATGGTTACTCTCAGAGCAAAACACATCCACATATCCAGCCTTTCACAGTTACCCAACTTTTGTGGCAAAAAAAGCTAGAACCTCTTTTGTAGTGGAAATGCCTGATAGAGCACAATGCTGACTGTGATCCTCACGCTGTATTTGTCTATCCTACACAGCTGCTACTTCTCTCTGCCCCCATCTCTGAGTCATAAGCTGTTTCCTTTATAAATCTATGATAACAATGTAATAAAAATACTAACACAATGTCCTTAGTGCTACCCTGTATCCTCTGAGCTCTTCAGGTCCTCCATCACCCCAAAATATAAAACTTAAAATACTGATTTCTGTAAGACTTTCACCAATGAATCCTCAAGTTGTAATTGGATGCTAATGTGAATATTAATAAGACTAGCTAGTGATTTGTGGTATGCCTAATGGATGCTCCTTTTTCCACATGATTAGACAGCACAACTCTTGGTGTCACCACAAAAGAGCTCATCACTACAAACAAAACAGGAACAACTCTCCCACTCTCAGATGCTGCTTCAACATCCCAAAGTTTCCAGCACACATGTGAGTAAGAAGATTTGAACTGACATGTTCAACTAGTGTATTGCGTGGGACTAACCTAAGAATGTGTTCTGCCTCATCCTACCTACATCCTCTTCTAGCCCCCAGCAACCAAGATAATAATTTGGTGTTTTTTTTAAACAATAATGTATTATCCCAGAGCTACAAATGGTGGGTACCAAGGCAGAAGAATATAAAGCTGGGCATTAATACATGATATATCATCTGGCAACAAGAGACAGTTTGGCCAACAAAGTAGGCAATTTTGATAAAATGAGAAAATTATCCTGTAGTTACCAGTAATTGTATTATTGCGAAATACAGCAGAACTTTGTTTTCTTATTGGTAACTGCATGCACTTTGGTCAGCCTCTCTCCTTCTCTTCCTTACTTCTGTCCTTCCCAGCACCTAGTAAGCACCATTTTTAGGTTTTATGATATCCATACCTTTGTATTCCACATATGTGCAGGCTCATGCCACACCTCTTTTTAGGGGACTGGCCTAATTGACATACGATCCCTAATTCCATCCATGTTATAACAAATGACAGGATTTCACTGTTTTATAACTCAATACTATTCCACTGTGTATATGTACCACATTTTCTTCAGCCATTCGTCAATTAATAAGCAGAGAGGCTGTTTTCCAAATTTTTACTATTGTCAAGTAGGCTGCAGTGAACATGCAGGTGTTTCTTGACCTTCTAATTTTACTTCCTTTGTAAATGTACCCAGGAGTAAAATGGCTGGATCAGATGGTCCTTCTATTTTTAATTATTTGAGGAATCTCTGTGAGACTTTCTATAATAAGTATATTCATTTACAACAAAGTAATAAGGGTGCCTTTTTCCGTAGCCTCAGCAACACTTTTAATCCTCTGTCATTTGGTAAACCATTCTTATAGAAGTGAGACTATCACTCACTGGGATTTTGATTTATATTACTCTGATATCAATGATATTGAACATCTCTTTTGAAAAAGAAGAAAAGGATATGACTTTTAAGAAAAGTTGTCTTTGGTCTATTGCCCATTTTTAAGTCTGATTATTTATAGAAATATACTTTTAGAAGAACAAAAGCAAGTGATATATGCAGCTAGAAATGGAATGAAATCAACGAAAAAATTCAAGGGAGTTTTTCATGTTGATGAAAATGTTCTACAACTGGATTAGAGTGCTTCAAAACACTGTAATCTTACAAAAATTATTTGTTCCATAGTTAAAGTGATACATTTAGATATTATTCAGTGAGTAAACAATGTATTTTTAAAGCTTTATTCAAAAAAAATTGTTGACCATGACCAATTACATTTCCTTCTTACATAATCTGAACCAAAAAATCCAAGCAAACAAACAAAAAGAATTCACCATGGGAAATACATTGGCAAAGTATCAGTATTAAAATGAGTCTGAGAACATCTTGATGACTCACGGGCATATTCGTATATAAAGAGGCAAATGTCATAAATAACTGAAATTGGCAAGAGGATGGGCAGAATATGGTGGTGGTGTAGAAAGACTCCATGAAATCGCTTAATTTCCTCATGAGACAAAGAGAATGCTAGTTAATTTCTGATTTCTGGTTTCAGTCCACATGTATCCTTACAATAAGCATTTCTGACCTATATATTCCATGTAATCTATGCATATAATCCGAATGTCCTCACCAGCATAATTAGCAACCTATCAAAATAGCTTTACTTAAAAACTTGTAATTCATGCATGTGTTTTGGGCATAGTCACAACATGATAAGAACCAATTAAAGGCAACTCATCATGTCTAAGTCTCTGGTTTAGAGATCTCTAAGGTTAGAGGAAATGGTCAGTAGGAATGATGGATGAGCAAAAACACACCAGGAGGATACCATAATTGTCAACTACTAATTATATTTAAGGGTAATACCATCTCTTAGAAAATGGGAAGAGTAGTACCTTTTCCTATATGCACCACATTTTTCTATCATACTGTCTCGGCTGTGATAAGCAGCATCTATTTTGTAGGAAAATATGTGTATGAAATGAATCTTCTGCAACTTATTCACAACTTATCTACTTCATAATACATTGATCCCTAATACAAACAAAAACAAAGCTATATTTGAGTCATCAAAGGTCATAGCATGTTCTGGAGATTAAACTGCTTTATACTCTGAACTGAATATTCACCCATTCATGACTGATGACCAACAAAGTAATATCCAGAGACTATGACTTCTTGAAATTATGACCCACACGGAAGTACATCATGAGTCACCAAAGACGCTTAATTTTACTTTGATTCACAAAATAATATGCCCTGAGCATCTAAGTTCTGGGTACCATTGTACTTCTTAGTTTCTAGACACAGTAAGGAATGACTTTTTCCAAGTTGTTAAAAATACATAAAAGCCATTTCTTGAAAAATGAAACATATGGAAAGCAAGATAATGAAAGAAGGGCATTTACTGTTGCTCTTTGTTACTTAACCATATATATATATATATATGTATATGTATGTGTGTGTGTGTATATATATATATATATATATATATATATATATATATATATATATGCACTTGAGGCATTTGTTATAAATACCTAACAAATTCCTGGGACATCCATAGATCTCTCTATTCTGAATGCTAAGCTGTCCTGAAGTGTCCTCTACCACATTAATTACTAAATTACTTTTCTGTGAAGCCTCACTCCAAAGGAGTAGTACATGGATGAAATACAGACAGATTCTTTGATAGCTTGCGTTTCTAAACTTTTCCGATTTCTCCCACAAACCACTTGAAAAGAACAAAAGCCACAGTCAAGTTTAATCACTGCAATGATTCTATTCCTCTCTCTCTCTACATTTTAGTATTTGTTACTTTTGCATGGTATTGACCAAAATACTTAGAAAAACAAAAAACTTAAAGGGAGAGAAAGATTGATTTTGGCACGTGGTTTTAGAGATTTCAAACTGTAAGCCTGATTACGAGTCTGAATATCATGGCAATGAGGGTTTATGGAGGAGAAAGCAGTTCATCTCATGGTTGACAGGAAGCAGAGGGGAGGGGAGGAGCAAGAGACAAGATATACCCAAGGCATGCTCTCAGTCACCCACTTTCTCCAATTAGGTTCTATGGATTTCACTACAAAATGAACAATTCCGGGCTGGGAAGGTGGCTCAGTGGTAGAGTGCTTGCCTTGCATGCATGAGGCCCTGGGTTCGATTCCTCAGCACCACATAAGCAGAAGTGGCGCTGTGGCTCAAGTGGTAGAGCACTAGCCTTGAGCTAAGAGCTTAGGGACAGCACTCAGGCCCAGAGTTCAAGCCCTACCACGCCCCCCCCCCAAAAAAAAAAGAAAAAAGAAAAAAGCCGGAAGTGGTGCTGTGGCTCAAGTGGTAGAGCGCTAGCCTTGAGCTGAAGAGCTGAGGGACAGCGCCCAGGCCCAGAGTTCAGGTCCCACGACCAGACCCAAAAAAAAAAAAAAAAAAAAAATGAACAATTCCATAGTAACACAGATATTTAAAATATTCTGTTGTATGACAGGGTCTATAATCTAGTTCATGCAATATTAGAGAGAAACAAATACTGGTTCAAGGTTATTGGTACAACCATCTCAAAAAGTTAGGAGAAAAATAATAAACCCAGAGAAAGGAAAAGGAAGAAAATAATAAAAATAAGAGGGGATATTAATAAATGACAATCACATATTTCAAAGTGGGCCAGCAAAATTAAAGTTTTGTGGTTTAGGACATGAAGACATAGAAATAGAAATTATTTTACAAATATAAGTCTATAAGAAGAAAAGCTGAAAAAAATAACACTCAGCAAGGTATTAGCCCAAAGGGTTCAAATACACATGGTTGAAGTTCCAGGAAAAGGAGTAAGAGAGGGGCTTAAAAGTAGTTTTTAAAATACTTACCAACTTGATTTTTTAATAAAAGCTATCAACCCATAGATGCAGCAAATTCAATAAGCCCAAACTAGAGAAACAGAAAGGAAATCACATCAAAGCGCAACATCATCAAATCCTAGAAAAATCAGAGGTAAAGTCAAAAAAACAATTGTAAAAATGACAACAGAGTTTCATCAGGAGCAATACATGACAGAAAACAATGAAGTGACATCTTTCTACTGGAAGGGAATAAAAGTATCACCCTATTTATATTCTATAAATATTTTTTGGACATAAAACATCAATAAAAATCTGGCAAGAAGGGGAAAATATCACCAGATGGAACTTTGGATCTAAATAAATGCAGGAAGAGATTTGACCATAGTAAATATATGAGGAGATATAAAAGATTTTTTTTTACCTATTTTAGTCTCATCCAAAGATTGTTGAAAGATTGTTGTGATTGTTGAAGGAAAAGATAACAACAGTGTATCAAATGTTTAAGCTATCTAAATCTTACAATCACAGAAGAATAAATGCCAAGATTGAAATATAATTGCTGGAATACAATCCTTAAATATACTCAAGTCAACTTGGATCCCAGTGGTTCACTGGGCACCAGTAGTTCTAATCCTATCTGAGAGATGAGGATCTAGGTTGCAACCCAGCCTGCTCAGGAAAGTCCTTGAGATTCTTATCTCCAATTAACCACCAAAAAGCCCAAAGTAGAGCTCTGACTGACAGAGAACAGCCTTGCAGGGGGGAAAAAAGGCTCCATGACAATGCCCAAGCCCTGTGTTCAAGCCCCTAGGATCGCCACCAAAATAAAATCGAAATATTCAGCCCCAAAAAAAGACAATAAATAGAGAGAAAGAGAAACTAAAAACAGATAAGAACTTAAAATCAAATAAAGATCAGGATAATATGATTATATCCAATTATAATGACAAGCACAAAAACCAGGATAGTTTGAACTCCATTAGAAAGATGAGACTGTGAGACTGGAACAAATATATGGCCCAAATGCAGTACTAAAAAATCATTTAAAATATAAACTGATTTGAAGCAAAAGATGGGAAAAGTATGTTTTGCTAAAAATAAAACTGCCATGGCTATAATAATATTGGCCAAAAAA